CGGCGTTCATCGCCGCGATCTGAGAGCCAACGTTCTGTTTGTGCGTATCGATCGTCTGTTCGATCCATTTCAACGAGGTCGGGTCGTTGCCCAGTTCTGGAAGCTGAGCCTTGCAGGACAGCTCCGTCTCCGCGATGTGGATCACCTCGTGACCAGCGGTGATAGTCGACAGTAAGGCACGTTGTGGTTCGGACAGGACGGATGTGACCTTGGTTTGTTGCACCTGGTTGCGATTAGACTTACATTAACTTAAGAATCGGTCGATGGATAAACGGACGGATGCGTGTTGTACCGACGTATCGTGATCGAGGTGATTTGAAGGCGCTCCGTCTTCTCAGTGAATCTTTCCACGCCTTCAAATTGCCCATTTAAATTGATTACTACTAAATAATCGTTCCTCAATGACGGGTGTACAAATAAAGAATGCATATGCCGAATAAAAATTCTTACGATACGGAATTCACCAATAGACTAGGTAAATTCCATCCAAGTACTTTTATATCTCGGTGAAGTTTAATATATTTTAGTCACGAAAATCAAACTCAATGAAATTAAGAATTGGAATGACGTAACAGAAATTTACTTAAATGCCAATGATATATAACAAAAAGTTTTATCATCGAGTACCTACTCTGTGTCCGCAATAGAAGGCGCCTAGCATGAAAACAAATTTAACCGTCAATTAGTTTTACGCAATTGTTTCGGTATGCAACGAAATTGTTTTATTATATTGATGTTGAACTTAAATATACCGTTGATATTCGCTGCGATCCATACAATAATGGTACTACTAACTAATGCCATAACAAAGCAGTTGAACAGCTCTCGCTCAAGCGAATGATCAGTGTTATTCTACAGAAAATTTATACAGAGAGATATGGACAAAAATAATCTCGAATATACTTTAATTTCGATCAGGAAACATTGAAAATTCAACGTGAGCAGGAGCTTATGCCTTTGATAAATCTTACCATCGGTGGAGCGTGAGCGATGTTCACCTGGCCGCTGACAGTCGTGTATTGAGCACCGCCCATGTGCCCGGTCCCATATGGTCGAGCCCCTACAAACCGTATCATGCAACTATCCGAATGATATTTACAGAGATCGATCCACGGGATCGATTGATCGTCCGATAGGGAAGCTTGAATACGCAAACAGATCTGCTCCATGAATTGCGAAGCAAGAGCATTTCTCACGAATAAGCGTCAAATATTTCGTTTAGTACATACAAAATAAAGGGTCCAAGATTTAAAAAAATGAAAATGCGACCTTTAAAAATTGTATAGGTATGTACAAAACAATTATACAAAAAGGAAATCATTCAAAGAGTAACGAATGACTAAATAAAAATAGAAAAATGTATAGATATATACAAAATTATTGTAAAAGACCGAGGAGGCAATCGTGCAAAGACCTCTAGAGCTTTCTGCATCTTTTCTCACCGCTTTGACAGTTTGGCAAGGACAGAGTTTAATCGAAGCCACGCGACATGTGTACATTTTTCGATAACTGGTTTATCTATTTATGTATAGAAAATAGCTGAATAAATAGTACGATAAAATTTGCTTCTTTACAACTTCCAAATAACCAACTGACTTTAAATAGAAATAATTTTCTTTCGAGCAAAAATCAGACACGTTTCTTAGGCCAACGCGCAAGGCACGATATATTATTTGGCATCGTATAAATCGTTGAATAACCACGCCAAAATACAGTGTCTTGTTTCTGATTCGTTGAAGATTATTTATGAAATCTTAATACATATTTTTCTTTCAGCTTCTTCGATGAAACGGAATTGCGTATTAATATTTTTTTAAGTTTAGGGATGATACAAGACACTGATTTCAAGGTTCACGAAATTAGAAAAAATTTCTGAAAATTCTTACCGTCTGCACCGGTTCTCATAACCGCAGGTATGGCAACTGACACAGCTTCCACGTTTCCTTTGCCGACGTTGCTCGTTTCGTGTTGCATGATCGTTGCTCTGTAAAAACATACCGCGTGTTTACTGGAAACAATACACATCCAACACACATAGTCAAGAAATTTACTTCATATTATATTTCTCTCTATTTTTCGCTTCCATATAACTTCTTTGCTTTTTGTTCAAAAACTCTTCCATAATATCACTTTGTCATCCACGATAACAAAAAGAAGAAACGACACAAAAAAGAAAGAAACTGCCGCGACTCTCTTCGCTACGAAAAATCATCGATATTCAATAAGCGATATTGGATAATCGAGATTGGCAAAGTGAGTCTTGAACTATCAGCTTCGATAATTCCCCTAATAAACAATCCATCGTCGTTTCGCTTAACGGAATTAGTACTTGTATTAAAAATTAATACGTATATTGTAATACTTACTTCAATGGCGATACACTATCTTCAACCATCGTTGAGCCTTCGTCTCCTTCGATACCAAAGTGATCTTTAGCTTTTTGCTTTTTAAGAATGATATCGATATAGCCAGAGATTAGCTGAAGTATCTGTTCCGCTTCTGTAGTCTGTACGCTGTAATATTGGTCAGAATAATCGCCAAAGTCGAGCGTAAACGTGTTCGGAGAGGCTCCCCAACGTCGGACGGTAGTCAACGGCCAGGTTTTTAAGATTTCTTTCGTTTTTTCATCGAGTCGCAAGACGGAGTCTTTGGTGACGCCGAGCAAACGAGGCACCAACTTGTTCTTTCCTTTCATTTTCTCCTTCACTAAGAAGAACGTGACGCCATAAGTACTCAAAGATCTTGCCGTTTTCGTATACAACACTTTGGCGTCCAGTTCTGAGAGACCGATGTGCTTCTTGTGCTCTGCAAAAATTTTCTTCTCGATACCCTTCACCTTCAAGTAGGACTGCGGTAAAAATTCCTTGAGGCTACGGGATCAGATTGAAAAATCTCGATTAGATATTATTTCGAAGGAACTCTTACAGAATTTTTGTAACCTTTTATTATTTCTTCAAGTATCGTCGTTCAAAGATTCAACAAAAAATGCTCAAAAATGTTGTCATTTATTTAAAGGAAGAAAAAGAAAAATTCATTTTCGCAATTTTGAATCTTTTCGCGTTGTTTACTGTACCGATGTTCTTATCCTTATTGCATCAGATTTCTCGTACAGTTATTGTTAAAAATATCGCAATAAGTGGAAACGGAAGAAATCGATATTTCTTATCTGAAAAAGCTTACTCGAGAAAGCCTGGCTTGTGCTTGTCCTCCTTGTGATCACCGAACTGGATCTGGCATTGTATTCCAGCGAAAATACAAGCTTTTTCCTGAGTAACCGGATGCGTGCCATCTAGAATTGCGTCTCTTGCTTGAACGTACAAAAGAGATAATTGCACCGGATCTCGACTGTCGATATTTTGATCTGAGAAGAAAAACTTTCTCCGCAGCAGCACCGTTTCCGACTCGTCTATCCCTTGCTCTCGTAAAGTCTTACTGGGATCTATCCAGTTTACTGGAAGAACAAAATGACATTTCATCGCGCCATGAAAATCTATGATTTGTACGCAGACGATTGATTGAAAATCTTTACCACAAAAAAAAAATATATATATAGATATATATCTTTAGCCTTAATTCTCCTTGCGTGAAGATTACATTTTTCACATGTACGAGAGGATCAAACTAAGGTCGCACGTCTATGTCACCACTAAAGTAGGATAAAAAAAGGTTCTACTATTAAAAAAGACGTCAACGTCTACGAACGCATTGGCAACAACGAAATACAACGCTAGTACAACACTTTCTTTCCACGCGTTTCTCCGCAAACATTAAATTGCTCGTTTCCGCAAGTTTAATAAATCCGAATTTTTATCGCGGCTAGATCAAGGCTCGCTGCTCACCTTCGTCGTCGGTTTTAAGCTTCTTCCTTAACTGATCCATCTTCGCGTCCCGCTCGCCTTTCTCCTCTTTTCTCCTCTTGAGCGTGAGGGTGCCGAAATTGCCCGGCTTCTGGTTCTCAGTCTCCTCGTCGGCCAACTCGCGCACCAACGAGTACTCATCGTGGTTCGTGATGCCTATCTTCGTACAAATTACTACCATGAGATTGGCGACGGGCTGACTGTCATCCACCAACAACGTCTTCAGCGTTCCATCCAACATGCGCACTCGAAGGGTCCGCAGTTTACGCCGGTACTCGAGAAGATCGCCGTTCCTCAGAATGTAATAATCGAGATTCCGGCCCGGCTCTAGCCAAACCCCCTTCTTCACATCCTCGTCGGCAAGGAATAATCCGTAGTCCTTGGCTGTCGATGCAAGAGGAAAACGCGCGGTCATTATCATCGTGCTACACGGTTATGCATGGAATTCTCCTGGACTCGTTAGCTTTTAGACGAGCTTTTTCCCTTCGTTATTGAGTTTTCCTTTGTTTCTATATAGAATAATAGTTGCTCGACTATTTGCTAGGGATTCCGGGAGGATTTTCGCGGGTTTGCGCCTCGAACTGGCTAATAGAGATTAAGAAGTTGGCGGTTTAGTGGGTTAGGTGTTTTATTTTTTTGGCAAAGTTAGAGAGCTGTAGGAGCAGTTTCTCGCGACAAGCGATCGAGACAGCGAAGTAGAATTGCAAGGGCTGTTTGTGGAAAAGACAGAATCTTCGACGCGATTAACTTGATAAAATCGTTTTTCTTAGTCAGCTATTTTGTCGTTAACGCTAACATCCATACGCAAAGAATATCGTCGAAAAAATAAAGAGGACAGAAGGGAAAAGATAAATGCAAATTCGTTTGTTCGTTAGTACAGCATCGTAGGATATTGCAGGTGCAAGTAGGAGCTTACGTTGGCCCATGTTACCCGCTTCAGCGAGTTTCTCTCTGATAATACGGCAAGCGTCGTAAATGGATGTGCTCGGGTCGAATTGCATCATCTTCGTGGCGTTTTTCTCCGGGATGGAGATACGCAAGGATAGGGTGGCCATTGCGGCTGCCTGGGATGATCTGTGTGCACGAAAACCACCGGAATCACACGACTGAAACACAAAAATAAAGTCGATTAGTTAGCATGATTTCTATAATCTGCATTTTTCTCTTTCTTTTGTTCAAATATATAAACGACGCAAGTCGTTCACTTGAAATAGACAAAATGCAATTTTTAGCTCTGTTGGAAACAGGTTCTTACATCTTCTTCTTATATCGGTTACAATTTCAACTCAATTGTAAAATGAAAAGAATTCGTCATTCTGTCGAGTTTTTGTAGTTCTAATGATGCAGTTAACGTTGAAAAGTAAAGTACATTGATCTGGTAGATGCACGTCTGTCGTGTTTGTTCGCAATTACTGGAGCTAGTATTAAACAAGAAACACGCAGCGCTTGATCGTCGAGCGACTCACGGTATTACGAAGAACATAAAGTACTACGGGAATATGCGATTTCTAGTTTACTGAATCAAGTGCAACAAGTTGCAAGAGGGCGAGCATTGTGCTTGCTCGCGGGTCACCGTTCTAACCATTCGCGTAATTGCACATTATCATAAAACAACGGATAGTTCTTGCTTGTTGTACGCGAATATATTCTCTCTCTCTCTCTCTCTCTCTCTCTCTCTCTCTCTTTCTCGTTAATTTCCCCTTTTTACACCGAAGAGTTCCAATGTAATAATCGCGAATGACGAGACTATGTGGATGTACAACTAGGTCGATTTACGAAGAGTAATTTAATCCTTCGCTTTATAATTGCTTCAAGAAATCGTTAAATTCTCTATTTCTGTTGGAAATGGAACAACTAAATATATAAAATTATGATAAAAATAAAATAACTCTTGACTGGGATATTACCGTTTAATTACCTACTTACATTCGACGATGTCAATCGATCGAAAGAGTATTCATATTTACGAGTATCGAAAAGTATCTTTTCCAGCTGATTGCTGAATAAGAAGAAGATAAGAAGAGAGAGAGAGAGAAATTTTCAAGCCCTGCGTTCCATCGTTTTGTATCGGTTTTCTGGGAAATCTAACGGAGCAACGGATTAAAAATGTCCCGCTATCGTATGAAAGAGGAAGCAACCGTGGGACTTCTGTCTATATATTGATCTACCGAGGTATGGTACATTTGCCATAGAATTTGCCACAGGGTGCAGTGTGGGATCCAGCACGGGCGTAGAACCCACCCCCACGTCACGGTATTCGGCTAATAAAAATAAATTGTCACCGGCTCCGGGCTAATTAAATCGATCCGAGGATACGAATCTTTCTCATCTACTCCCCATGGAGAGAAATACCACCCGCCATGCTCTGTTTGCATCAACAAATTACCAATAATCCCCGTACATTTGTCGAATAAATCACATTGATGAAACAGACTTCGATACTTTACACTCCTTGCCGAGAATCCTTTTAATCGTCCAATTTAATTGTCAGAAACGTTGAAATAAATAGATTAAAAAATGAGTAAAAGTTGGCTACATTTTATGCCTCGATATTTTAGTGGAAATTTCGTAATGTAAAATTCCATTTTGTCGAATATTGCATTCTTGACTGGAAGAAAATTTCTGTGCCTCTATGAAAAATATTTCACACGAGAATGAAAAGACCGTCGACAGCCTTGGTTATGTTAATTGGAAAGTTGATTAATTACGAAGTTCCGTTCATGATGAAATAGTTGGGCCCAAGAGGGAACAACGTAAGGCTACTTCGTGCAGACCGAGAACTCCACTAACAAAAACTAATAGATCTAGGAATTTAATAGCAAGAAGGGACATTCTGCGTATTCTGATATCATTTTATGGAAGAATAAAGATAAAGCTATCGATCTCCTACATTGATTCCGTCAACTTCCTAAGAAGAGGACATTTTTCTAAAAATCTTCCTAAAGTTAAAGAAAATCTCAAAGATTCGAAGCTTATAAAAGAAACGAGAAATTACGATATTCTGTTTAGAACTGTGAATCGAGAATGCATTGTCCGTAGACTATCACGACACACGGTACATTATCAGGATCTAAACGAGCAGAGGCCGCCAATTATAGGCTGTTTCGTTCGTTTACTCGACTCCTTTTTTTTATATCCGTCTCGATGGCAGAGCAGGGGGGTGGTCCATGCGCATAAATTCGTTGCAAGTACACCCTACGCCAATGTGAACTTCCACCCTTAGAGGTTGCCAGGCAACGCCGGTCTCTGACTGTGTCAAACTCAAGCACAACCACCCCAGACCATCCCTTCTTACGAGTCCATCCCGTCGACCCTCGCCCCCCTGTTCCTCTCTCTTTTCATTTTCTCTTCTCCATTTTCCTTACTTCACCGCTGTACATCGGCCTCTCTTGTTTACTCTTTTCCTCCTCGGTTACCGTATTTCTATCTTTACACCTATCACTGTACAACTTTTATACATTCTTCCTCTTTTCTTTCCCGTTTCGTTGTTTCTTTCCTCTTTCCCGTGAATCTAATTTTCCGTTCTTGCCGTCTTATTTCGTTTCTTTTTCTTTGCTTTCTTATTTGCTCCTTTGTTTCTTATCTTTATTTCTTCCTCTACCTTTTTCCTCGGTTTTAGTTAGATCGCCGACGTTATTGTCTCTCCGGTGTCTCGTTTTCTACTATTCTCGGCGCAGCGCTTTCTTTGTTATCTCTTTATCGGCTTTCAACGATGCTCTCGTTCCTTTTTCACTTTTTGATTCGTTTCTCTTTCATGCTTTATCTCCTCTTATTATCCTCGCTTTTCTGCTTGCTAGTTTCTTCTTTGTCGCTACTATTGCCGTTTTATTACCAACCCTTTTTGGCTCTACGTTTTTTCCAATTTCTATATTACTCTTTCGCATGCAAATCTCTCATCGGTATTTTTATTTCTCTAGCTCTTCCCTCTTCTCCCACTTTCATTCTGTCCTTATTTTTCTTCCATTTCGTTACATTATTTTCACATTCGTCCGTGTCACTATCTCGAACCTCTGCTTTCGTCCAATTTTATCGTTTTCGATTTTTACGCGCTTTCATATAGTTAGATACGATTAGTTTTAATGTAAGCAAAAGGAAGGACGTCGTGTTCAAATTCACGACAGCGGCTGCAATTAACATCAAAGTGGAAAACATTTCCAAGGAAATATTATAATTCTCAGCGCCTCTTTATTCAACGGTATCTCAGAACTTGGACCATGATCTTGTTTTATAGCTACTTCTCTAGTCCGTTAACCGTTGTAAATGGAATCAAATTATCGCCAGGGAATTCAACTCCGAGTTCGTGCTAAAAATCCACTAAAGAATGACTTTGAATAACTTGACGGATTTATACTAAAAAGAAAGGAACAACTAACTAAATTCAATAACGCAAAATCTACCGTAAGATCATTTTCCAGGTAAACTGGAGGATGAATTACCGAAGTTATTATGACTAAACGTAAATGAATAAACGTTGTTGAAGATCGTAAAAAGTATACGAAGTGGTAGTTGTTATAATTTAGAAGTGGGTGGTTAAAAATGATTCGAGCGATGAATAAACTGTCGGTACTACGCCAGCAACGAATCTGCTTTGATAATCGTGCAAGTTTGCACGAAACTTTGTCTCGGGTTCGCTTTAAAACAGCCACCCAATAATGTATGCAACGATACTGTACAATTGCTTGACTAATAATTTCGTTTAACGTTATCTTTAAACGAGTTCAGTCGTTCGGTAGTCATGAGAGCCGCAAGTAAGGATAAGGAAGATATTTCGCTGAATGTTTCTCAAATCGGTAAAAATTGGTCTCTGAATTATTTAAGAATCTCGTTCTTTTTCGATCGAACGTTTTTTGGCTCGAAAGGGAAGAGAGCTCGAACGATACATCTATGCGAAATAATCGAAATTTTGCAACAGATCTGATTCTGTCGTTTACAAAGTTACTCGCTCGACCGCGATACGTCACTTTCCAGTTTCCATGGAATGTATTTAGAGGAATGACCTCATTACCTGTAATTAGGTCAACCGTATGAGTGCAACTATGCAACGGCGATGCGCTCCAACGTCGTTCGAATCGTTCTTTGAACGTTTCGACCTTCGTATCAAAAGCTATTACGCGTGTTATTTTACGTATGTCTGAAGTTCTTTGTACATTAGATACAAAAAAGAATCCTCCGCGCTCTAAAAGTCCGTAATACAGTAATACATACATATATCACGCGAATATCTACTTTTGAAGCTTCCAAACTTTCTGCATATTGTGTTGCACACTTTTAACGTTGGTATATAACCCAAAAATTCTACCAAGCGAGCTTCAAGACTTTTAAGTAGACCGTGTGAAACGGTCACGGAACTACCCAAACGACCTTACGAATGAATATTTTACAGCCAGCTTGCAAAAAATTCCTCATAGGCTGAAACGCGTCGTTTCGTCGTTTAAGGAGTAGGTCAGTGGAATTTTTGTCCGTAACTGAACGAAAAAACTAGTGATTCATTAGAAATTAGCAAAGATTCCAATGCTACGTGCAATGACAATAATGAAAGCCCGATAAAATTGTAAGTCAATCGAATCACGAAACGAGTCCGTTAGCGCAGAACGCTTATAAGCTCGATATGGGTGGCAATAGGTATCGAGACTGACAACGATCAAGAGAGAAGGGAAAACAAGGAAAAAATAAATAGGAAGCAATACGATCCGCGTGTTAACCGAAAGTGGATCGATCGCAGTCTCTAAATTTAGACGTCAGTGTCTTTCCACGGTGATGACGCCTGACGGCAACTAATTGAGGGTCCGTCGATTGCTACGAGGTAACGAAGACACGATTATGCACGCTCTACAAGATTCGGTAATCAGGGGTTCGGTTCTCTTAATGGATCCTGGCATACGTGCCAATCACGTGGTACCCCGCTGTTGATACAACGAACATGAAAAATAATCTTTCGCTTAACTTCGCTTGTTTAAGCTCGACTTTTGTTCATTGACTTTATTCCAAACGACTAACAGAATACGTTCATATATTTCGGAACGACGATCAGTTAGTTAATCGATGAACGTGGACGACAGTAAGTTTGGATTTTCATGTAATTTTTCGATCGTTTACATGCTGTATT